ATCGCTCAGTGATGTGAGAATAAATTCCTACCAAAAATTAACATAATGCTCCTTTATAAGCTAGAGGTTCTGAATTCCATGACTGATCTTGTATGTGGAAGAATATCAATCACCATCATGTGGAGCTATCTCCTAAACAAATAAACAAACAAAACCAATACCAATTCCAACAGAAGAGAATATTAACAGGGTGCTGAGTGCTTTGAGACAATCTGATCTTTTAAATCTTATTCTTTGATTATATGTATATCAGATAAATATAGAATTTGAAATTACCATTATATTGAGACTAATCAAAAATCACTCTAGAATGCTTTCCAGTTGAAAGGGATTCGGGAGGCATTAAGACATTATTTTGAAAGCAAAACCAATCTGATTACCATGTTATGACTTTTTTTGACTGCTAAAGAAAATTTGTGTCTGAGCATATTTAAGAATTATTACATTCAAGTTTTAGGATAGAAAGTTACAAATGTGTATTTTTATTTTCCGACAAAAGTCTTCTCTCAGATGTTCTGATATTTCTCAGGACTAATCTCAGAATCATCTCAAATCATTTATCTCCTCATAGCAATAGTCTATAAGAATCACATAATCTTGTCTATTCTTCCCTTATTTCAAAATATCTGTTTTGGACAGTAACCGTTTGATAACATGGATAAAATTTTAAACTTCTATAGCCCTTAAATTTCTCTTAAGGAATTGGAAGTTAGGCTGGTAACCATTATGTTCTCTTCCAATTCTCAGATTATGTCATTTTATGCTTGTCTGATTTTATCCCCAGTGCCACTGCATACTGTCCTCATTTCATGTCTAGACCACGGAGCAATTACATCTTTACTGTTCTCTGCTCAACCAGACTGACTACCTTTCATTACATCCTATAGCTTATCTTAAATAAAGCCCACCCTCATCATGTCATATTTAAACGTGAAGTCTTGTTGAGATAATAAAGTCCAAACTTATCATGAGTGCTGGATAAACGAGTCTGCCATCTGGCTATGATCAGTCTGTTCATTTTTATGACCTACCACTCTGCCACATGAATTCTCTAATTCCAGTCAAAATGGGCCACTAAACCTTCCATCATGCCCTGTATGAGGCTTATTTAAAATGCCCTCCTGTCCTTTTCTCAGCCATTTGCATTCTGTTTGTCCTTCCTGATCCAACTCAGATTGCACTCCTTCATGCCCTTCTCTATTAAACTATCTATAATCCATCTTCCCTCACCCTGTTGTCCTATCCACAGTAGGGTCTCCCTAACACTTAATATCAATACCATTCACTTTTTAAAAAACTTTATTGAAGAATAATTGACAAATATAATTGTATGTATTCATTGTGTACAATGTGATGATCTGATATACATCTACATTGTTTAATTACCAAGATCAACATAATTAATACCATTCACTTTTTTTTTTTTTTTTTTTTTTTTTTTTTAATGAGAGACAGAGAGCATGAGAGGGAGGAGGGTCAGAGGGAGAAGCAGACTCCCCACCGAGCAGGGAGCCCGATGTGGGACTCGATCCCGGGACTCCAGGACTGTGACCTGAGCCGAAGGCAGTTGCTTAACCAACTGAGCCACCCAGGCGCCCAATACCATTCACTTTTTAAAAACCTTTTTATTATTCAGTATTCAATACTGCTTATTTTTGATTTATTATAGGATATATTTGATCTATTTCCAAAATGATAATGAGAAGGTTTACAGTAGAGACCACATAAAACAGCATGTCAGTTAAAAAAGAAAGTGAAAATACAAAACCAAAAATGGGAGAGAGGAGTAACATGTATTAATGAAATTTAGAATCTAGCTATATGTTTCCTGGTAGTCAAAGCAAAAAAGGACCCATTAGTTACCATTTGGCAGTGACTTACTATTGTGATACAGTGTGTGTATTTTTTAAAACTTTCTATCTACATGCATCTTGTCTCTCTAACCCATTCCTTGTGATTTCTAGGACTTATTTTAGGAATTATCCTTTATAGTATGTGGCTCAGTGTGTAGTCTAACATATGATGAGTTTAATAAATTAGTTGATTGGTGGCTAATGAATCAGAAGTCTAAATTTGAAGCAGTTTTATTTATATAGAAATTTCAAATAAGTACATAGTAAACATACAAATGAAAATGTGAACATAAAAAGAACACATAGAAATCTCAGAGGGAGAATGAAGGGTCTGAAGTTGTGACCACTTTAATCAGACGAAATTTTAAAAAGCATTCATAGCCTACTATTTTGGGATAAATGTCTATACAGATGTAATATAGTACAGCAAACCTTTAATAAGATAAGAAACCTATTTTATTGGAACTACATTGTATAGACTAATTTACTGACTTTTCTTTCCCTCCCTAAGTAGCTGTTTTATGAGACTGAAAGGATGCCGTGCAGATATACCATGCTGTTCCTCACACTGTACTCAGGCTTTCATTTCTTCTCCATCGAAAGTTATTTTTCTAAACTTGGTAGAAGAGCCTTTTTAAAATGTAGGGAACTAGTCTGGCGCTGTCCAAAAGCAATTTCCATGATGATGGAGATATTCTATACCTGTGCTGTCCAATTCAGGAGCCAGTAACCTTGTGTTGAGAGCTCAGAATGTGGCTAGTGTCGACTGAGGAACTGAATTTTAAATTATACTTAATGTTAATTACTTGAAATTTAAATGGAAAGAGCCATAAGTGGCTAGTGACTACAGAATTGGCAGAGGCAGCTTTTACAGAGCTGCTTGCCTCTAAATAGAAACTTCCATACCTGATTTGGTACCTTGACCACTGTTTCTTTATTATCACATCAAGTTTTAAGCTACCATGCATTAACAGTAAAACTTTGGATGTTTTTGTTATTTTAAGAAGTCTATGTTGTCAAAAGTAAAATTTAGGGAGATTTATTATTTACTGCCATGTAATGTAACCATGGAGAGGATCATCCCTGTTTCTGTCATTATGTTTGTTCTTGGACTCAAAGAAAAAGCACTTCTAAAATAGGAGTCTCCATAGGGTCTAGGTCACCTTTCCTGGGCTACTGGAAGATGGCACTCTCTGGGCAGAATTTGCACTTGTAGCCTGGGTGTCTCTCTGTAGGGCATTCTCTGAAGTCCTCTCTCAACCAGGCATCTGAGTAAGTGGGCCTACCAAATTCTTCTCAAGGTGGATTTTTCTGACTGTCTTGTTTTGCTCATAGGAGCAAATGGGAGGTGTTTGCTTTCTCTAGGCCAGCAGGAGCTTGCTCTAACTCTTCCTTTTAATTTTTTTTAATATGAGGATCCCCACACTTGCTCTTTGAAATGCTATTCTGTCAACTGCTATTTCCTCTAAGCCTGTTATGCCTTTTTTCCATCTGTGTTGAAGTCTCTTTTCCCAGTGGAGCCTTTCTTTCTCAGCTTAGTCATGCTATGTGTGAGACCCACATCCACACTGCTGGCCTCTTCTGACTCATCCTGGGTAGCTTGCTTGCTCCAGGAACCCCACTCACAATGCAGTGGAACAGCAGGGAGGCTCCAATGAAGCCAGCCCTTTCTGAAATCTGCCTCTTTTCCTGGCTTCTCTTCTTGTCTAAAGCTACATGAGGAGGGGAAAAAGCAAAAATGTCCTTCCCCCCCTTAAGGTAACACTTTTAGTAAATAGTTTGTAGTAACTCTAATTTCCAGTTTATAAGCTACTTTTGTTATTGCTGCTACTTTTAAATATTCCATAATCTAGCTAGTAGAAAAACCCACTAATGCTCCAATTTTCCTTTTTCCTCCACCAGCAAGCCAAGAGAGTCAATTCTGACAGTTACATTTTCCTTCCAGTTACAGGTTAAATTGTTTCCCTTTTTGAAATATATTATTCATAAATGTGAACAGTTTCTGAACTATAGCTCCTCCCATCCACAGATAGGAGACTGGCTAGGTGGAAATTGCTCATCTGCCCCATTGGCTGTTCTGGAGTTGTTCAGAGCTGGGTCTTCACACTGTAATCTTCCAGGCCAGGATTTTCCTTGGCCCTCCCTACCCCTCAAAGAAAACCCTCTGCCAAGAATGGCTTAGGCCCATGATTTCCCAATACAGATGGGTTCAGACAGTAAATTTCTCTGACTTGATTTGCTAAAAGGGTCAAAGTTGAATAATATAATGATAATCAAAAACTGATCACTGACTCAAATCTAAGTTTGGCCAATAACTCATTCAATTGACTTATTATTTTTTTAATCACTAAACACGTTCTGAAAGTATAAAAAGGAACTCCAACTTGAGTGTCCCATTAACTCAGGGAAGCCTGACCCAGGCAGTCACTAAAGAAGCAACTTTATATACCTAATTAGAGGGGTCTATGGGAGAAATTAAGAGGCACATGTTATTTTTGGTTGTGTAAATTAGCTTGGTTTTGCACGAGTACCACTTTTTTCCAGTTAAAATACACTCTCTCTCTTTCTCTCCATATATAATATATATGTATTCTTTGTCCTTAGTCGGAAGCATTTTACCCACCTTATTTTTAAGAAAACAACTTCAGGTTATCTTGATTTGAGCTGGGAGAACCTGCCTACCCGTTTTCATCTTGGTACAAGACCTTACACAATGACCTTACTGCTTTAATTCTATGTGCAGTGGGGCACCACCCTTCACTAGACTTTAAGCCTGGGAATAGACAGAGGGTGACCTGCAAGACAACCATCTTACTCTCCCAAGGAGTGGGGGTCCATCTGTTGCAGAGATCTGGAGGTTCATTTGCCAGGAGAAAAGTGCAGTTAAGGAAAAGTGCAGTTATATGAAACTCAAGTTAGCTAAATTCCAGCTGAACTAACCAGCAGGAGGGGGGAGGGGATATGTGACATTTTTGACAACTGTGGGAGCTCCCACATTATCAAGCCCAGAACACGGTGTGTGTGGCAAAGGTACAGAAGGATGCACAGACTGCTTGCCAGAGGAGAGCTGTCCCAACCCTGACAGCATCCCTGGGGCAGGGGGCATGGAGGGGGGGCGTCCTTTGCACGCTGGCCGCCTCACCTTACCTTGACCACATCGTCGTTGAGATGCCTGGGGTCGCGGTTGACCAGGTCGATTTCTTTGGTGTGCGCGTCGTACACTTGCTTCTCGTTCATCTCTTCTGCCATGGCCTTGTTGTTGGGCTTGTAGATGTTGCCCTGTTCCCGAATGGGAACAGTGTAGAGATGTCCCTGCGCAGGGCAGACGGCCAGGAAGGGGAGGGTGGCCGGGGAGATGGGAAGAAAATTTCAAAATGAAAAACAAGCGATCAGAAGTCAGCCTGGCGGCGGGGCAAACCTCGAAGCTCAAAATCGAACTAACCGCTTAGGCAGCGGTGGCTCCTCGCACAGTAAACTCCTTGGCGCTGCAAGCTTTTTAAGAGGATCGAGGAGAGGACACCACACCCCTCCGTACCCGGCAGGGAGCTCCGGTCTCCCCCGCCCGCCGCCAGGGGTCAGGGCAAACACCGCGGTGCGGTCTGCCCAGGCCCCAGCCGGGCGCACGCCCAGCCCAAGGTACCCTGCGGAGACCCTAGCAGGGGAGGGGACCCGATCTCCGACTTCTGTCCAGCCACTCTCTCCGACACGCCACCCTCGCCCCGAATGCTTCACCTGCTTTATTTTCCCGTCCCCCTGGCCCCCATTCCTTCTCTCAATAAGCTCTTCCAGCTTATCTTCAGATCCAGTTTGAACCCCCGACCCATGGAGTCTCCCCATTTTTGTTGCTTCTGGTCGCATCTCTCTCGCACCTGTTCGCGTCCCCCACCCTCTGTCAGCCCTCTTTGTCCCTACATTGCTCTCCCCATCCCCATGGTGGTCACAGTGCCGAAAGCCCCCATCTCTGGACCAAGCCATGTGTCAACCCCCCTAAACTCCCTAGAACAACGATATCTCACCTGCACAGCTCCCTCAACCCACCCTCAGGTCACTCTTAGGCTGCCGGCCGGTGGCTGAGCCACTGCCGCGTTTGGGAACGCGCGAGGTCTCCACACCCGGGCGGAGCCCGAGCGCAGGAGGGTGGTTGGAAGGGGTGGTGGTAGTTGGGGGGAGGAGAGGTCCATCCCTCTCCAAACACCCCCACTAGGCGCCAAGATGCTGGAAGAGTTCTTGAGGTGGCCCAAGAGCTTTGGAAAGTGCAAACATGATGCTCTCCGCCCCGGCCAACCCGTCCAGGCGCCTGGTGGGGAGTCTCGGGGACTGTCCCCAGAATTGCGGGTAAATGACTTCCCACCCTGCGTTCCAGCTCGCCGCCTCTCAGCAGGCAGGGGCTGGACTGTGGGAGTCCCGCAATAAAGCAGCAAGCAGCAACCCCGACCCACCTAGAAATGCGTCCTCAGTACTAATTTCAGGACCCCGGCCCCCTTTCCGCCTCCTTCTAGTTTAGGGGCGCCCGGACCCCTTTCTAAATGGGAAAATAGAAAACATTCCTGCCACCTCTTCACCTCCCCGCCCAGGCCCATTCCGCAGAGATGCCAGCGCGAGAGGAGCGTTCCAAAGTGGAGAGAGGGCTGGGGCAGGGAAAGCAGTCGGAATATTTGGAGTGGGAGATAGCAGAAGGAGGCACTCCTTGCGCTCCCCAGGGCCCGGCGCGCACCCACCCAAGCCTACCTCGGAATCTACGTATTTGCCCCCAGACATGCTGGCCGGTGGCTGGATGAAGGCTCTGAGATTTCTCTGGGTTGTTATTTAAGGGAACTGAGGAAGGAAGATCTTGTATTGTATGGGGGAGAAAAAGGCGCTGGCGGCGGGGGGGGGGGGGGGGGGAGCGGTGGCTGGGAGGGAGCCTCCTGGCCGCCCGCCAAGGGTTTGTTCTGCAGCGGTTGGCCGGGACTTGTGCTGCGCCGGGTCTAGGCACATCCCCAAGGTTCTGGCAGCAGAGGGCGGGGAGCGCCCGCCGGGAGCAAGGAGCAATGGGAAAGCGTTTCACCAGCGCTGGGTTGCTTGGGCAAATATTTTAAACCTGGGGCAAGATTTTCCCAGTTATGAACCACTCAGAGGCGTCCTGCAGAGAGCGAATGTTTTCGCAGTGCATCATGCTCGCAGGGGTGGGGAGTGAAGTGACCCGGCGCGCAAGCAGAGATGCCCAGTATGGGCACCCAAGCTTCGGAAAGAATTCAGCTCTGCTCTAAGCCGTTTGTTCTCATCGCCCACGTTCCATCTCAGCCCAAGACACAACTATCTCCCAGTTTCACAGAGGAAGGGATGAAAAATGACCCAGAACGTTTAGGTGCATTTCACACTTAAACACAAGGAAGGAATTTGTGTGGGTTCGCGTGTGTGGTGGACTTTTGGTGGCACTCCTTTACATCTAGTTGGTGGAGATGGAAGCTGGGAGAAGCAGACATGCAGAATTTAACATTTCCCAACCAGTTCTGAAATTTTCCACAATGCTTTGAAATAAATGAAAATGTTAAACTTTACTGATTTTTTTGGAACAAAGGACATTCATGCCAACACGTTATGCCATATTTATAAAATGTGTAAAATATTTACAATCGTAGAAATATTTAATTGGAGCTTCAAGTTTATCATAGAGTTTTTTTTTTTTTCTAATGTACTTGCCTGTGAGTTAGAGGACACCTGGTTTTTCTACTAATTGATTAGAAGTTTAAAAAATTGTTAGCAATTAAAATATTTTATTCCTGAATTTGGGGATGCTTTTTTTTATTATAAAGCAACACATGATGAATTAAACAATAAGCAGTTATTTTATATTGGGCATTTATAAGTCAAGAAATTCACTGTCCAGAAAGGACATTTTACCTAAGGTTTCATATGCAATCAAAAGTAAAATTATGACTTGAAATAAAAAAGCTGAGAATATACATGAAGGGGCATAGGTTACATTAAAAAATACTGGCAGTCTGACATGGGGGTGGGGGCACAGAAGGGGGAGGAGAAAATGGAGTAGAGGATGGAAACTTGGAGTTGATTATCTAGTTAGAGAGAATATATGAAAATATAAAAGAACTATAAAGGACAGACTGTTGTTTATAGTAAAAAAAGCAATACAATTTTTTTTAAAAAGATCAGTTTCAATTACATGGCAGGGAAGATGTCGCAAATGTTGGCATTAATTATGCTGGCTAGTCATTATTAGAATACTAAAGATCTTCTAAAAATTGGGTTTTTAAATTTTTATTTCTGCCAAAATCCATTTCTAAATTTTTTGAACAAATTGTGTGTTAACAAACATGATATGCTAAGAAAGAGTGGTGTCAGGGTCAATGTGTTGTGTGGTGCCCAGTCTATCTCTAATGATTGCTGAAAGATTGCTGTTCATCTAACTCTTCCTTCATAAGTTGGTTGCAAAGCAGTTGTGGTTATGATCTATGGAAAAATGTGGAAACCGGCTCCCATCTATTGTTATTCAGTCTTCAGCTGTGATGAGTAATCTTGACTGTGAAAAAAGTCAACAGGAACAGGGAGAGAGTGTGTCCTGCATTCCAGCAAGGACTGGACTTTCTGGGGAGGCCTGTGAGTGAATGCTTAACTAGCACTCAACTGAGGGAAGTCCATGGCGAAGCCAAATCAACAGCAGTGCATGGAATCATAATGATCAGTGAAGCGTTGTCAATGCCAAAATGAATTCCTAATGAGAGGAAAAACCACAAACTCTTCATTAACCTGCCTCAACAAGAAGCTAGAACCAAAAAGAAACAGATTGTATTCTGGTTATAATAGTTGAATTGAAGAATTGGCTCCAATTTAACAAGAAATAAAGAAGAACATTTTTAGCATAGGTATAAGATTTGAAATGAACAGATGTAAAAAACAAAATATATTTTCTTTGATATCCCCCACAGATAACTTTAGGCTTGGAGGCAAGTTAATAAATTTCTCCAAATCATTTACTAAAAAATGAGTAAATGGCAACTTATTTGCTGCCTTTTTTTTTTTTTTTTTGAAGAAGCAGTCTTAAAGGTTAGCTCACGCATTATATGTTACTAAAAATATAGAGCTAAAAGGGACACCATTCATCCAAATCAGTAGCCTTAGAGATGTGGAAATTGAAGTCTAAATACATAAAAATGATTTGTTCTTAAGGAGTTTTGTGGGGTAATGAACATTTTAAAGTTGATAAATAACTAGAGCACCTATTAACAATTTCTGGGACAAGGGATTCTTAAGTAGTCTGGTGAGGATCTACTCATGGTAAAATTGTGAAGTTAGTTGCCTTTTGTGTTCTCTTATCTTCTCAACAACCCCTCCCCCCCCCCCGCCGAGTCCCCACCACCTTAGATCCTCTTACACTAAACTGGCTTCATCTGATTTCCACTCTAGGAGTAGGAGTCTAAGGTTTTGCTTACAACAGTATCAGTGGTTTTAAGAAGCAGGCAGGTTTCCAGCATTTATCAACACTCAGAAGCCCAATCAGTGAGTTCAGAAAAGAGATTACAGTTTGGATTATAATAGTGGTTATCACTAGGTGTGATATAAAAAGAATAATAACCAGTGTGGGAGAGCTAGCCAGCAGTCATTCCTAACTTGGGTCACAGCTCTGGAGCTGTGCTTTGGAGTCCTGCTGGCTAGTTGCTGGCTCATTGGGGTGTTAGGAGCCTTTAGGAGAGGGTCAGAAGGGGAAGGGGGAACATTTCAGAGGGTGACTATTTACATGCATAAATATCAATATTTTTACAAGCTATATGTTCAGCTGAATATTTATCCTGTTTTTCAGCATCACCATCTCACACATCTTCCACTGAATTCCATTCAGGCCTTCCCATACCTGCTTTACCTTCTTCCATACCTTCCATTTTATATATGGAAAGAAACAGCTATCTAGATGAAGATCTGCCTCATCATCTGATCCCTTTCCATCCCTCTTCTGGCTTGAAGGCCTCCACTGGACTCTTTCTTGTTGTGGGCCTTTCCATTTTGAGTATTTTAAATGATTTTTTCTCTATTTTCTTAAAAAAAAAAAACACAACTATTTCTACATTCAAAAATCTTCCTGATCACAATGGATGACAAAATACTCTTTTCACACTGTTTCTTTAAATTAACGTCACTCTGCTTATTTGTAAAATGGAAAACATTGACATCTACCCAACAGTGGTGCCATGAACATTTAATGAGGTGATTTAAAGCACAGAGGATACTGCCTAAATCATAACAGATGCTAGGGTTAGGGACAAATTTCAGCCTACAGATTCAGAATTGAAATAAATGTATTGGGGCGCCTGGGTGGCTCAGTCGTTAAGCATCTGCCTTCGGTTCAGGTCATGATCCCAGGATCCTGGGATTGAGCCCTGCATCGGGCTCCCTCCACAGCGGGGAGCCTGCTTCTCTCTCTCCCACTCACCCTGCTTGTGTTCCCTCTCTCGCTATGTCTCTCTCTGTCAAATAAATAAAATCTTAAAAAAAAAAAAAAAAAGAAAGAAAGAAATGTATTTACTTTAAAGTATTTTTATTGTAAAATAGTTTAACCCTCTGCAGTAAATAGTGTAAGAACTCTCACCATGAAGCTTGATCAAATAATATCATTTTGCCTTATTTGCTTCAGATTTTTTTTAAAGTGGAAAACATGTATACTACTGAGGTCCCCCATGAGGTGTAACTTTCTCTCTTTTGGTAACTGAGCTTAATTTCTTTCACAAACCCCCATTCCTTCAGGTAGCAGAAACTTCAGCTCAGTGCATTTCTAGTTTCTGCCATTTTGTTGGGATTGCACCTAAATTCCAGGGGCTTATGAATTGCCAAAGAATCTCGGGGTGGGTCTGTGGAAGAGTCTCTTCCTTAGCTCTGCATCTTGGATCTGAGAGGTACATCATCAACCTGTCTGTCCTCAATCATTGGTCCATTCAGGGCAGTGCTACTCTGTCCTTCATGCTCATTCAATATACCCCTTAGGGCTACAGACACTTTTTGCTACTTCTGTTTTTTTCTTGGGGCTCTAGTTACATCTAATGAATTTGGGTGGGCAGGCCTGATGTGGCAGCACAGGGCCACCGTGGTGAAGGTGCTGTAGAGAAGCAAAGAATTGCCCTGCCACGGTACAGAGAAACTCTAGGGGGTTGCAATCTCCACAGGCCCTGCTCAGAAACAGGAGGCACAGATATCTCAACTTTAGATTCTCTTAATTTATCTGGGCCTCGGCTAAAGACACACATATGTCAAAAATCATTTTGCTTATTTTCCCAATTTTCTCTCCCTTGCGCAGGAAGCCATGCTTGCACATCACCCAACAATTTTTCTGTGCCCTGAATTCCCCCAGGGCCTTCACCCAGGCTTTTAGAGTCAAGAAAAGCCTTATCTCTGCTTTTCTGCTGTAATGATCCTTTTGTAGGCATGGGGGGGGGGTGGGGTAGGGGAGGGCTCTAGGGGCTTCTAGAAAAGAACATAAATTAACATTTCAGAAGTGTTATCATTCAGTTTTCTTTTTTCCCTTCAACCAAATCCTGCCAAAATTTTGCTAGTAACATCTTTCTTAAGCTCTCTCTGGTATTTCTGAATTATAACAAACCCTTAAATTCAAATTTTAAATATAGAAGAACTTCTGCCAGTATTTATATTTCACTGATAGCCTTACATTAAGGCTTTTATCCTTCTAATTAACTCAAAATATTGATAGTGGAATAATATATCTGGCCTTTAGCTATCGTGTCGGTTTACTTTACAATTTTCTTATCATATATTTTGTTATTAAGACCAAACCAATCTGACTGGTTATTTAATATGATTGAAATAAGATTAATTCTTGAGAAAACTTTTGGATAGCAAATTCTGTGTAGAAAAGTACAATTCTTTTCGGTGTCCTAACTAAAATTGGTAAAGGTATAGTTGTACGTACTAAATCATCATAGATGAGGCTTTATGGCTATGTCTGAGTGATATCTCAATAGCTAATTAAAAGTGAAAGATGATGTGAACCAACACTTTTTTTGTCATCATCTATCCAAGGCATATTTTAAAACTGAATTTTAGGGTGTATCAATCAATTATTGCTACAATAATTTGGCATAAATAAACTACTACAAAAGTCAGTAGCTCAAGAACAACCATTTGTTCACACAGATCTATGGATTGGGTGGGCTGGGGCTTGGTGGATGTAGGCTGGGGTGGCTGGGGCAGCTTTGCTTTTCACTGCAAGTCTGTGGTGTCTCTGCTCCATGTCTCTGTCCTCCGTGGACCAGCAAGCTACTGGGGAAGATTTTTTTCATGATCCAAGAAATCGCAGCTACAAAAAAGGAAGAGGAAAAATATGTCACAGGCTCCTAGAAGCCTAAACCTGGAAATGACAC